TCATTTGGGGGTTTTTAATTTTCCAAAAAAGGGGGAATTAGCTTTTTTTTTTTTTTTTTTTTTTTAAATAGGCAAAAATACATGTGGATAAAATAAACCCATACGAGATCTTATATCGCAACCATCCTTCTCTCGGCGACTGTCACCGGTTTTGCGAGAATGTAGATTTTTGGCATAATTTATCAAAAAATACCCGTACAGAAATCAAAAAAGACGACTCAAAATTGCATAAAACTAGCTTTACTAGTTTTTTTTACTAAAAAAAAAAAAAAACATCACATGAAAGAATTTTGAAAGAGAGCACTTTTTTTTTTTTTAGAGATCATTATTTTACTCTCAGCACAACAAAATACCTGTCAATAAAATAGATCACAATGCTTAAAACAAACCGAGGGCTTCAAAATGGCGAGTATCCCTAACCGACCAGCTTTTTACCCATTTCCATCCCAAGGTTTTTACAGTCCTACAGAAATACACCGATTCAACCAGAGTATATGCAACACCTACTCTTCACTGTTCCACACCTGATCCATCTCTAAAGCATCTGAAAGAGTCAAGAATGAAAGGAGCCCACAGTATTCAAGTACTAGTGGTCTACTATGTCAATGAAAGCAGCAAGACAGTCAATAAAGAACAAGGTGGTGAAGTAATCCACTTTGCATGGTAAAAACACAATTAATTTATAAACTGACAGAATGTTTGAAGCTTTACAATTTCATGTGTATATAATTATATATCCTACACGGTGAAGGACACATGAAGTGGACATATGTGCATCTTAGGCAGACTGCACTGTTTTACTTTCATTATAACAACATGACCGGTTTTTCACTCATTTGTTATAATTGTGGTGCCTATCTGCAGCGGTCAGCGGTACATGAATGAGTGAAATCACTTCTGTCTAAACGTGCTGCAAATTGTAAATCAATGTTTGCGAATCAGTAAAATAGCAGTGGCGTTCCAAAATGGCTGCATGTGGAAGTCCTGAAAGCAGCTTACTTTTTTTTTTTTAAAGGAAAATCTTATAGTGACTTTTGAGTTTGATTTTTACCTAACTCTTAGTTTTGTTTTGTTTTAAGATTGTTTATTCTTAATTTTACTTTTTTTTTCACTTTTTAATTGTAACACAGGGTAATTTTACTGGTTAAAGTTAAGTCACTTCAGTTTTATCCTTTAAAACAAACACCATGCAGAGGATGGCAACTCCTACATATCACCTACATATCAGCAGAAGTACAAACCCAGTAAGGGACAGGAAGCTCTACCAAGATCCAAAAAATGATAAAGAAAGAGAAAGAGAAAAAAATTATCTTGCAAAAAGAAAAAAAAAGTTTAGTCTAATGACTGGCAAACTGTAAAAGTAGGAAAAAAAACAGCAAATTTATCTGCAGTGGTGGTTTTTGATGCAGACAATATGGCCTTCATGGCTTCCCATCCAGGGCTCCCTTGGATGATGACGCAAAAGTAAAGCTTTGTTTTTGGTGTACGAACAACCTCCAACTGAAACAGCTATGAATACTGGAATATAAAGACGACAAGATGACTCCAAATTGGACTGAACTATTTCAAAACAAACAGATTTGTTCAACATGATGCAGCTCATATTTTGGGGAAAGCTGCTTGGAAAAAAGAAATGCATGATTCTTAGCTTTCTCAAAAAGATTCTTAAAATCTCTCCTTAAAGCGGAAATAGTGGGGATTCGCCCAGGGAAGCATTCATCCGTGTACCACCACTGCTGAACTGACCAGAAACCCAAATCGGTCTGTTCCAAAGACACAAAGATTTGATGCACTCGCCAGTAACAAAAACATAAAACATATATTTGGTGAAACCTAAACAGAAATTAAATGAAGACAGACATCCATCCATCCATCCATCCATCCATTTTCTGTACACCCTTGTCCCTAGTAGGTTCGGGGGAGGTTGAAGACATAATGTGTTTTTAAAATCCGATATATTAAAGCTACGAAAGTAGAAAAAGAAGTTAAATTCTTCATAACTGTATTGTTCTTTAAATAAGGGAAGGAGACATGAGCATAGATGAGGAGATCACATTTCTAAAGCATAATAGCTTCACTGCTTAAAAAACCTTTATCAGACAGAATAATCATAAACGTAGGTTTCTAAAAACACCTGAAATCTCATTTTAAGTTAGAAAATTGCTCTCTGTCAATCAATACATTTTTCTTAGTCGTTCACTCCAGCTGCATATAGAAAAATTGAAGAAACTAAAAGGATTGTATCATTTTTTTTTGTTTCATTTACATTAATTTAAAACCTAAATCTAAACAGAGAGCTCCCACGTCATGCCCTTCATTGTTTTAATGAAAAGCTGTTAACATACGGCACTGTCTAGTTCCATTATTTCTGGTAGAAGAAGATTTTAATATAAGCAGTATGGCTACCACCCAGGGTAAAATCTCTAGAGGGGTGGAACAAAAAAAAAAAAAAAAAACATTTTTTAAAACCTTTACTATATTTATAAAAATACACAAAACTTTATCCAAGCTTTGCCACATTTCCACTTGTTAAACGTGAAAACCCTCATTTGTCTCGTTAGCTGAACGTATCATAGCATCTTACCTACTACGTATGTGCGTATGTGTACATCGTGGAAATCCACAATGCAGTTACAAAAATTGACATTGGAAATTTGTGGAATTACCAGAGGAGGTTGGAGATCTGTTCTGACCCAAAAAGCAGCTGTAAGGGAGACATGGCTGAGTGAGAACCAGAGATTTGTGACTCTGGTTAATTTTGGAGCCGATTTCCCCGCAAAACATTGAATATTATATCCATGCTGCACCGTGCAAAGATCCACAACAGAACAGCGACGACAGCTTACCGAGTACTTTACTGAGATTCTTCGTCTAATAAATAAATGGTAAATTTGTGTCTGGCAGAAAAAGAGGAGCAGCACAGTGAACATCGTCACTGATGAGGAAGTTAAGAAGAGGACAGTCACAATGGAATTGTAAACCACACATTCCTGATGAAACGCTGTGTGAAATTAACAAGAGAATTTTAAAGAGCTTTATAAAACATAAAATTATTCAGCTTAACCATAACACATTTGGGTTGTTTTTCTACTAAACTGATTAAATTTGACGTTGTCCGAGGCTGGAAAATGTTTGCATGTAAAACATTCAATTCAGAAAACTTTTTACAAGATTTTCTTTGTTTATTTTTTATAAAATATAATTAAAAATATCTTAAATGATGAGGCAAGGGGGCCTCAATTAAGGGGTAAGTGGCTGGGAAATGAGTTTTCAATATGGGCAATATGGCTTTCTGCCAGGGGCCACCGTTTGTTTATTTATTTTTTGTTTGTTTGCTTGCTTTAAGGTGATTATTGTTATTGCCTAAATAAATTAGTGGCCCCAGTTTGGCTGCTCCTTTGAAAACTTTATGCAGGAACCTTTTTAAGGGTAATTAGTTGTGTGTGGGGCAAAAAAAGGTGTGGCTTGCCCAGGGCCTCATTCAAGCCAGAACCGCCACTGACTTGAGGGTTTTCAGGATCCTACGTGAGCGTGTATATATATTTTATAACACTGCCAAAATCTTGACCCTCTTTCCCCGACCAGTTTAGCTCAAAGTCTCCTGAAGGCCCACAACAACTACAGGACAGTGTCCAAAGAAACAGCGAACACGAATCTCCTTAAATCCTCGAAGAGAAACTTTACAGGACCGAAAGAAGAAGAAGAAGAAGAAAAAAGGCCGAGTTAACGGGGTAGAAAGTGTGGAAAGAGTCGAAAACAAGGCCTCTGAATGAACTCCGTAGCCTACACAATAAATCAACAGAGCAACATGTGGTGGAAAAGCGAGCCTGGCTTCATGCGTTTCGGAAAGCTCCTCGTTAAATCACACAAAATCCTACAACAAAAGCAACAGCAGCAGAAAAAAGCAGACCAAAAGAGTCAACGTGAGGGCGTAAAGTTAAGACTATAAAGCGAAAAAAAAAAAAGCGGAGACACATGCTCGCCGACATGTTAGCAGGCTGGCTGGGTGACAAGCGAGCTCTGCTGTCCATTCAGGGCCAAAGTGTGAAACTAACCGTGTCACAGCCACACAACACTTCTTCCCTTCCCCTCGCGGGGCTGCAGAGAGGGAAGCAGGCAAGGGGGGTCGGGGGAGGGGGGGCTGGTCGCATGTGGCCCAAAGAGGAAACTTAACGTGTTTTTTTTGTTTTTTGTTTTTTGTATTTTTTTTTTCAAGCCCGTGGACAACGTGTGATTACACAGTAACATGTTGGGCAATGCAAAACATCCGGATGATACAATGAAAAAAAGCAACTGGCTCTCTGTGTGGAGAAACATCCCCCCTTCCAGCCTCTCTCTCTCTCTCTCTCTCTCTCTCTCTCTCTCTCTCTCTCTCTCTCGGGCATAAATCAAACTCATCACCATTACGGATCAAGTTATTTAATTATCAAATTATTTAATTGCTTTCCGACTTACTTGGTGGACGAAAACATCCAGAGGCGGGTCGACGGGGCTCCCCTCGCTGTTCGTCATTGATATAAATCCAAAGCCCATGCGGACGTTGAACCACTTGCAGAAGCCCGATCCGGACAGGACCTGGGCTCGAGCCCTCTCCTCCTGCTCGGTGGACTTGGCGGGGTCTTCTCCGCCAGCGCCACCGCCACCTTTACCCGGCCCTCCTGGAAACACACACACACACACACACACAGAGAGAAAGCTGCGGGGTTAGAGGGGGATCTCCCCCTGGCTTTGCGTACCGCTTTACATAAGTTGCATTAAAAGAAAAGAAGAAGAAGAAGAAGAAAGGAAAGAAATCAAACTTAGAAGCGGGGATTCCCCTATAACTTGCGATGTGAAGTTCACGGGCGGTAGAACATTTCTAAACTGATATCTCCTGACCACACAAACGCGGCGTTATGTGCCGTGACCCCTGGAAAAGTTGTTACTCCGTGACAGATGAGTGCATCCACTGCTACACCGTGCACAGGCATGCTCTGTAACTTGTGGAGGGGGGCTTTTCTGTCCTGTCGTGCATCTACAACCCTGTTCCTGCTGTGAAGTTGTAAAGGGGGAGGGAAAAAAAGAAAGGGCAGGTGTACACATGGGTTTTTCGAGCTTTTTTTTTTTTTTTTTTTTTTTGTCTTTTACTACACGGCTATGCTCTAACAATGCGCGTATCTTAACGCAGCCAAACATGGTTAGATACGGTGCTCGGCAAGGGGCGGTTCAGGTTTTCCTCTGTTTTAGTAGCTTTGCAACAATAACCACGCTGCACCTTGCCTCCTCCCCCCCCCCCCCCCCCCCTCACCATCTTCGCTCGCATTAAAGAGCAGAAAAATATTTTTAAGGGGAGAGGAGGAGGGGGTGCGGGAAATTCATAATAATTGCAGAATAACCTTCGGCCATGTTTCCCCGCGGACCCTCTGCGCCCAAGTTGCGATAGAGAAGCTTCCTCTGCGAAAACGGGCTGCGGTCGTCACCATTAATCCGACATCCTCGATCCCGTCGGTCGCCAGTTTGGCTCGCATGGTACGGCGTGCTTTCTGCCTTTTGATATTTTTGTCATGTCTTTCTCTCTTCCCTCCGATCCCTTCCTCACTCACACCACCTCTGTTCTCGCTCTATTCCCCCCCTCCCTCCTCCTCACTGCTCTCTCTCTCTCTCTCTCTCTCTCTCCTTCGCTCTCATTCGCTCTCCTACTGGCTGTGCCCGTTCCCGTAGTGAGAACACGTGACTTTGTCAATTATATGCTTTTTTGTTTGTAATTTCTGCTCCCACCAATGAAGGCAACAGGACAGAATCCATAACAGCCTTCATAAAGTAATCACGCACATTCCAGGTAAGAAATATACTGTTTGCATCACCCCACCCCCCCTCCAGCTCCTCCCGCCCTCTTCCCTGTATCATAAATGGGCTGGTGTGGCAACCATGAGCCTATTATGCACACAGATTAGATTAGATGATTAGATGGGATTAAATTATGCTTTAATGAATGTTGCGGGGTAATTGGGTGGTGATGGCAACAAGAAAAACAAGAAAAAAAAAAAAACAAGGAACAAATCAGAAACATAAAGCAAATGATAATGCTAATGACATGTGGCAATTAGCCCGAGCCTGGTCACCTGTACCGAGACTGACAGAGGTTTAAAACAAAAGTAAAAGTGTGCAGTCACACTGTTCAAGTGCAAGATGTCAAACGAGTACCGAGGGGGGGTTTTTCTGCTTTTCTGCCTGTTGCTGCACGCTGAAAAGTCAGCTGGCTGAAAGAAGGCTGCTGAACGTTTCCACTGCCCAAGAAGAAAGACAAATGTTTCTGTGCGAAATGATTTCTGCATGTGGAAAACACAACAGAAACCGAGGAGTAGAGAACAGAGCCGTGCGGGAATACTCCTCTCAAATCTGTTGCTGCACACTGCCTCATCAGCTTGCTGGCCAAATTAGCCTTTTTGAGACTCAGAGAACGGTCTCGGGAGGAGTTTCCACAACTTTCATTGTGGAAGCTAAAGTGGAACATGGAGAAGCAAAACGCTGCCTCTGCAGTGTAGAAAAGGTTCCTCCACTTTTCTCTTACTGGCTGCTGAAACATTCAGCTCCCAGAAAACACAGACAGCCGAGGTGTGGAAACTGCTGCACACTCCCCAGTCAGCTGACTGAAAGAAGGCTCCAACACTTATCGCTCGCTCACAAGGACATTTCCAGCTGTGTGGAAAACGCTGCCTGTAAAGACGTAGGAAATGCGAGGCGCTCCTTCTGTTGCTCTTACTCGTGTTGCACCGTTTAAAAGCTGCTGTTGGTGAGCTACGAGCTTGTTGGCGAGCTGTTTCAAAAAGTCCCTACGGCTCAGTGTACTTTGAAGGAGACGCCAGAAGGATCCGAATATTTTACTGTCTCAGTGGAGCATACCAGCACCACGTTGCCCATCCGCCACATGTTGCTTAAGTCAGAAAAAAAACACCAAAGAATCTGCCTGGAATTATTTGTTTGTCTTGCTGGGAACACAAACAGTCAAGATGCAGAAACCACCACACTATTCACCCGTTTCTCGAAAGCTTAAGTTAAACGTAGGTTAGTCCACAACTCAGCTGCAACACGTCGTTTTATTTATCTTCGTGACACAGAAGCCGCTTTACGATTCTGGCTTGGATTTTCAAAGTTATGTAAGGTGACAATTCTTTGTACATTTCTGAACCGTTACAGCTGCATGTCAACCACCTGGCTCATGAAGCCGACTGATAAGGGCTCGCTATCTCTGAGCACAGAGGAAAGTAAAGGGAGACAGACTGTCTGCTGTTACGGCACTTACACACAAACTCTGTATTTTTATTTACATTTTGTGGATCAGTGAACTTCGCCAGAGGCAGCTACAGATCCCCCTGACCTTTTCTAATTATGCTGATTGTAACTTATTTGACTTTTGCTATGTCTTTTTTTATTTTATTGTGAAGCACCACAGGATTTTTATACTAAAAGGTAAAAACGTACTGACTAATGCGCTAATCTGAATCAACTGGCTAAAGGAAGCTAAAAATAATTGTTTATTATTAGTTTTTGTTTGTCTCCAAATACAAAAAGCATGAATTGTCAAGGTTTGAAGACTGCAAAATTTACACCCTTTTAAATATGAATTGGTAGGCAATGAGCTTCTAAGCGATTTGTGCTTAATAAAAGAAATCACAGCATGGCTAAATTTGCAAAACGTAAAATGTTTTTTTTTAGCTACTTTTTTCTATTTAGTTTAGCTCTGATCATCTTTCTGGACATTGCACAACCAACGAAACGCTGCGGATACAAGATGTCATGCAGTCCCACGAAGCAATAAATCTGATTTAAATCTCAAATAACGGCTTCTGTTTCAACCATTTCAACCAAAGATAAAACCGAACACCACTTTGGTACCTGAAGCTTAAACTGAAGAAATAATAATAATAAAAAAAACAAAAACAATTAAGAGTAATGTAAAACAAAGCACAAGCTCATGTTTCCAACGCACTATGAGTAACCTCCCAGCATCCTAGTGGGCACCAGAGGAGAGCTGAACTCACAGCTTTGGAATGTGAGCAGAAAAGTCTGGAAAAACAACCCCGAAAACTGTCATTTCTCATCTCCACTCGGTAGTTTTTGGCTTTGCTGCTTTCATCCTGCACATCTTTGCAAATCGCTGTAAGTAAGTGAGTGCTTCTTAGACTGCAGCAAAAATGAATAATATACAGGGAGAACTATGGGTGAATGGATGATTGTGCGGTCTTTACTGTTGAAATTTCATGCAGGTTCGAGACTCAATTAGTGATGATTACATCTGGCAGGTTTAGCATAACTTGAAACTCCACAACAATTTCTTCTTCTTCTTCTTCTTCTTCTTCTTCTTCTTCTTCTTCTTCTTCTTCTTCTTCTTCTTCTTCTTCTTCTTCTTCTTCTTCTTCTTCCGTGAGCTCAAAAACAGAACGCTGCAGAGAGCGAGGGAGAGAGAGAAAAAAAGAGGAGGAGGGGATGGTTGTGAATCCTCAAGGCCGACCACCAGCTCGAAAACAACAAGCATGAAAAATAGTCTGCTCCTGGAGAACCCTCCACCCCACCCTCTCACCCCCTAACTCCTTCACACCCCCTAACCCCTTCACACCCCCTAACCCCTCCATCTTATCTCACACCTAACCCTGGTGGGACGTTTCTCAGGGTGTTATTCCCGGTTGTAAGGAGAGAGGGAAAAACACGTCGGAAGGAATGAAACAAAAACAAGCCCATATCCCCACCCACCCACCGCCAAAGAGTCCGCCCTCCGGAATTCACAGGATTTGCCCCTACCCCCAGCCCAGCCCAATCCAAGCCCACCACTTCTTACCCCCCCGCCCCCCCGTGCCCCGTGCAAAAGGCCCTGTTTTTGAAGATGCTTGTGGCGGAGGCTTCCGCAGTCACCACAGAATTACGGTTGGGGTCAGAGGGCTGGATGCCAGTGTCAGATGTTATCCCCTCACTCATATCCCCGGCAGGAGCTTTCTGATCAGGAACAGTCGGGGGAGATCACCTCTGAGCTATTCGCCGACATGTGGAAGAGAGGGAGTACTTGTGCATAGGAGGCTTGTGTTTTTTTTTTTTTGCTTTAGCTACACCGAGGTATTTAAAAACAAAATGGGAATAAAGGAGATTCTTGTGAATTTCAAGAGGCATGAAATCTAAAGTGATTTTATTTTTATTTTTTTTAAGAAAAAAAAATAAATCCATTTAAAAAAAATCTAGATATAGACAGGATTCCTTCGTTAAGCTTTAACTGCTTAACAATGCTCTGTAATTAAAAGCAACTACGAGTCAGAAATTAGCAAAGCTTTTTCTTCACTCACTCAATGTAAGACATTACTCGTCTTTTTTTATTTTGCTCTCCTAAATATGCATATTGTTTTTTTTTTATGTAAAAAAAAAAAAACAAAAAAAAAACGTTCATACTGATCCCAAGCTTTGTGATATGTCTTTTAGTTGTACATTTTGGAATAACTAAATCAAATAAACCAAAGTCATTAGATTTTCATGCAACACTTCACAAAAAGGATCTTTGTTTCTTTTTTGTTTGTTTTTTTTTTCCTCCTGACTTGTTGCATCTAAAAGAACAGACTTGGAAGTCAGAGTTTGTTTGTGTTAGTTGTTCCAAAAAAACTTTGTCAGTTTTAATTTGCATTTATAAGGGATTGGTTTATTTTCAGCTTTGTTTGATTATGAACAAAGAAGGACAATGGATAAGATCCCAGAATTTGGTAAAAATAACATTAATGAAAAAAACTGACCTGCATTTAGTAGTACTCATTCCTCTAAGATTTTTTCTTCAGCCACAAATGGTTACTTCCCCCTGTGTTGCTATAAGTAAAAAAAACAAAAAAAAAACTAAAAAGTTTTTCATGTTGTCGAAGGAAAATGCCTAAAGATGGTTAAGAGTGGAGAAAGTATTGGATATTAAAAAAGCTCCAGCTTCCTTCCGCTTTTTACGCATGTCAGGATTTTTTGTCTGCTGTTTTATGTATTCTCCTTTATTTCATGTGTTCAAAGAAAACATGAATGTTTTTCATTCGTTCAGGCAATGCTGATTAATGAAGACAAACAAATGTGGCATAACAAATGTGGCATAATTTGTAAACTGTCTGTTTTCAGAAATGAATGCTGTGGAACAAGATCGAAACACTGTTTTAGATACTCCGACATCCTCAGTGATTTGTATTTATTTATTTATTTGAAGCTCTTATTGGGTTATTCAGCTTTTTATCTGTTGTCTATCCCAGTCAAATGAGACTGTTTTTTAGTTTTTTTAAGCATGGACGGGGAACTTTCAGGTTGAAATATGATTTAAATTACTCTGTGAATTATTGCATTTCTGTGCCCAGTTGTGTAACGGTTATTTACTCTGAAGCAGTGTACAGTAAAACAACCAATGATGATCTCTTTACCATTATTTGTACTGCAATCTGGAATAAACTATTGTATTTTAAAATCGATTGTTAAAAATATTGAGGTACCTTGTTATCAATTCATCTTAAAATGAGAAAGGCCACTGATCTGGATTTGAGTAAAATGTTTTCGATTTGTTATTATTTTAGTTTATTTATTTTTTTTTTTTACAAGAGCTGACATAAAAG